ATTGCATGTTATGTGATGTAGGATGATGATAATAAGCATTGGCATGCTATCTTTGTATAGTTGAAATAGTGATGAGCATTGATATACTCTATATGATTGGTATGCTATTGTTGAATAAATTGTGGAGCATTGATACGCTATTATGGAATGAATTGTTAAGTATTGGTATGATATTCTTGGTTGAGGTGTTAAGTATTGGTATGCTATACATGATTGATGTTATTGATCTCTATATGCATTGACTAGATGTGATGTATATAGTAGATACATGGTTAGGTTTAGATGTTGAGAATATGGTATGACATTAAAACATGATAGCTAACTCAGGACTTGATGAGAGAAAATTATTTTAAAAACTAAAGATCCAACATAGGGTATCTTGGAGTGATGCTTGGGTAGACCATTGTTTGGAAAACCCTCCTTGAGTAGGTGCGTCTCTTGGAGTAAAATTTTAAGGCGTGTTGAGTCTTCTTCAAGTCCTTAGTTAGTGGTTGAGTAAAGTAAGAGGTTGAGGGCTATAACCCTTAACCAAGTACCTAGAAAGGTTACGTGACTTCTTGAGGATAATCAGTGAGAAAATTCTATATGTGACTTAGTAATGCATGTCAAGGTCGTGATAATCCTATACCCAACTGTACTATTCATGACAGTGGAATTGAACTTTTCCAATGTAAGTGATAAGATCCGAGAAACCACAGGAGGGATTGGTATCCCATTTTGCTGTAATCGAGCCAACGCTTTAGGCGTGAAAACGATTGGATCAGTTTGGTAGGGTGGAAATCACTTAGATTACTCATGTTGTTAGGAGATTTTCCGTAGGTGAATATGTGTCGACACATTGATTGATATGTTTGTATATGATGTATGTTGAGTCGTGTTTATATGCATTGTTGATGTCTTGGGGGACACGATTGGATGAGGTACGTGTTTGCTTCGGATGTGTTAGCTTTCATGTATGATATATGGCATGATGTTGTATATTATAAATTTATTTTCTATATATACATGTTTTCGAACTCTAGCTTACCCTTTTTGTTTCCATGGTGGTTTGGACTGTGATGATCATACGTTATATGACAACAAATCAGGGCTAAGCTTGAGGAGCTATTGGACTGTAATACTTTTTAACGATGGTACTATTGATGTAACTTGTATAGGTGTGCTTGACCGACACTAGGACATAGGATTATTTGGGATTACTGTATACATGTATATATCCTATTTATATCAATTTGGTTGTTTTACTTATATACTCATGTTACGTGTGTATGTATGCATGTATATTATATTTCTTTCCATAATCTTGTATGTTCTAATAATTTAGTTTTCATTAATAGTAACATTAATTTTACATGGTGGGATAACCACGCCGAGTTGTTACAATTGTCAATATTGTAATATTTTCTATTTATAAAAACTAAATATTGTAAAAATTAAAATCAAATTTAAGCATATTGTAAGTGAAAAGAAATCGGAGTTTTTTTTTTTGTTACAATAATTTTTATTTGAAATATTTTTCTAATTATAATAAAATGTCTTATAAAAATAATTAAGGCTTCGGAGAACAAAATATACGTCAAAACTGTTTTTTTTTTTATAAATAAAAGCTAATACATTTTTCATCCTACGGGTTCTACACGAATGGACTATGAAGAAAGATCCGCAACAACATAAATGTATTGCTAAAAAGAATCCATTATTATTAAGCAGTTCGCACTATTTCTTTATTTGGATGTGAAGAAAAATTAGGAAAAAGAAAGTTGAAAGAAAGAGAAAGAGGAAAAGAGAAAATAAAGAGAAAAATCAAAATTTCTTGATTGGGCTAGCATATATTTTGGGCTGCAATGAACAACTCTCGTGAGTTGGGCTTCGCACAATGACATATTGACTTTTGCCATTTACACTCTTCTATTTGTTAAATACACCCCTCTTTGTATTTTTTCGTTGGATTATTAAATAACTTTATCTTCTCTCTCTTTTATCTAGTGGCAGACCTACGTACACTTGAGGCACTAGAAAAAAAAAAAAAAAAAAAAAGACTAATTATCAAAAGATTTTGTTCTAACAGATTTTTTTTTGAAGGGATTTCTAACAGATTTAGATTTATCAAAAAAATATATTACCAACAGATCCAAAATTTATAGATAAGCAAAATTCACGGTTAATTTTTTTCTGATAGATTTTTATTCGTAAAAAATTTTAGAAGTTATAGCAGATATAACAGACAAAATTGCGATGACATTTTTAATTACTTCTGAATTTCATCTCGTTCAAAAATTGAAATTTTTTTGACAAATTTTAGTGACAGATAATCTGTTGAAAACAAATTTCATCAAAAAGTTGAAAACTCTGTCAGTAACTATAAAAATAAAAATAAAAAACATAGACAACCATTCAATCTATTTGGGGTACCAAAAAATTAAATAATTAAAAAAAAACCAATAAATTTTTTTAGTACCTAAACAATTTTGCATGCTAAACATGATTAAATATAACTATATTAAATCCTTAAGGTATCTAAACAATGTTTATAAAAAAATATATATTTTTAAGTTATAAATTTAACTATTTATTAATATAATATACAAATTCAAATAAACTGATAAATATGTATAATAATTTTAATTTTTACTCTAAATTATTCTTTTAAATAAATAACTATAAATGATTTTATCTTTAATTAAATATATATTAATTAATTGAAATATTAATAATATGAAACTATACTTATTTTATTTATTAACATAAATAATACATATAATTAACTTATTTAAATGAACAATGCATTTTTGACCGGCTAATCTCAACCATTAAATATTCCATAATTAATTTATCTAGTAACGTTGGATCTAGATGCACAACTAGTGTAATTAATGGGGGGAGGCAATTGCCACCTAAAAGTAAATATTTTAATTTCTTAATATATTGAATAAATATTTTTTTCACTCGTAAAATATATTTTATAAAAAAGAAAAAATAAATTAGTACTCCCCTATTCTCGTTTATAATCAAATTAAGAAAAAAAGAAACCAACATCATACATTCACACTTGTTAACAAAAATAGACAACTTTATTAAATTATTTTGATCTCAATTAAAAAATAAACTTATTTCTTACAATACTCTTTATATTAAAACTTGTTTTAAGCATAAAGTCGTGTTAAATGAAAGGTATTTTTAACATAATTTTATTAAATGAGATAAAATAATATATATTTGCTTGAGTCTTGAATTATGAATTTTTGTCTCCTCTAAATTTATAATTTGAAAACATTACTCTTAATTTTCAATTATTGTTAATTTTAGGTTTTTGTTGACTATTTTTTTTTCTTATATTTTTGTCTCTTTTCAACTCACTCTTCATTAATAAGGAGTGCTATATATATATATAGGACATTATAATTATTATTTTTATCTTTTAACTAACCTGTTCCACCAACTCAAGATCTTAATTTTGTTATTGCTTGTCTTGTTTATCTTTTTTTTTTTTTTAGAGATTTCTTTTCTTGGACTATTCTCAAGATATATATGCTTTGATCTTTATCTTGAAGTGGTTTAATGCCAATATTTCTAGATGATATCCAGATATATTTTTTTTATGCTTTTTTATGCTTGAAATGGTAGATAGGGTTAATACTCCCATGACAACCAAGTAAAGAACCAATGTTAGGGATTCTCAGGTTAAAGATTTTTATTCATTTAGTTGGTAGTTGAAGTTTAATAGTATCTAATTTGACTTATAACTTTATTTATCGAATTAAGAGTCAACAGAATCCCATCAGACAAGGATCTTTATGCCCATTAAACTAGGATGTTCAAATATTTATGTTTTATTTTTCATGTATGCAATTGGAAAAATTGACATGTATTTAACAAATTTTTTAGACAAAATGATCGGTCCTCCCTATATCACACTTAGGTTTTCTTGCTTCACGATGCCCGCAATCTTAGCATTGAATCACTTCATTTATCCATGAAGACAATTCAATTTCACATGATAGAAGGAAGTCATGTTGGGATACAAACAAGTTTCACATCGATAAAATAAGAAAAGAAATAACAACTTATAAAACATACTCATACTTCAATGATAAAGAGGTCTTTTGGGTGATGACCAAAAACAAAATCGTGAGGGCTCAGGCCCAAAGCGAACAATATCTCATCATTGTGAAGTTGTGTGTGAAATAACCTTATAAAAATAACACTTATAAAATATCTCCTCAAACAAATATCATAAAATAACCCCATGAAGTGGTATCAAAGTCGTAAGGTTGGATTCAGTGACACCTGACAGATTCCGCTATATGAAAGGTTAGGCCCCTTGTTTGAGGGGAGGATTGTTGGGATACAAACAAGTCCTACATCGATAAAATAAGAGAAGAAATAACAACTTATAAAACATAAGCATACTCCAATAATTGAGAGGCCTTTTTGGATGATGACCAAAATTAAAACTGTGAGGACTTAGTTCCAAAGCGAACAATATCTCATCATTGTGGAGTTATGTGTAAAAATAACTCTTATAAAACATCTTCCAAGACAAATATCATAAAATAATCTCATAAAGTCAATGCAGCAAGATGAGAAAAAGTCTTTAGAGTTAAGAGTGATAATTAGAGATACGAGTGATCTGACCTTATTAAAAGATACATAGAACAGATCCAACTTTACCCATAGTTCCATTTGACATGTGCACATAGATCAATATTTCCTTCACAAATTTGACTAAATTACCCTTTATCTTCAAAATTATATTTCCAAGCAAAAATACGTAATTGCATTTTCTATCTTTTCTTTTCCCTCATTTTCTATCTTACGACACCTGGAAAAACACACTACTCATATTTTGTAGCAAAAAAAAAAAAACTCTAGAGTTGCATTATAAAACTGTATTAAGTAAGACGTTAAAATAACCAATTGTTACCCTTAAATCTTACATAGACGATCAAGGTTAACTTTAAGTAAAACTACTTGAAATAATGTTGATGATCTATGTAAGATTGAATGGAAAATATTATCTCCTTTAACATCTATTTGATTGTCATATTTGATTGCACAAGAAAAGACAATAGTTTTCATACTCACAAAGCACTACAAAAATAACAACACAATAAAAGCAAATGAGATGGGTTACATGAATCACAACACTAGAAACCGCAAGATTTAACATGTTGTCAGGACTTAAACATGAGAGAGTGAATGTATTCCACAAGAAACATCATTGAACATCTTGGCTACTGATTAGTGATTAGGGCCCAAAAGTGAGAGAAGAAAGGCTCTGTAGTGACCAGATGTCTCTGAGTGAACTTCATCGTTCAGTGTCTTCTTGTGTTTCTTTAAATATTCAGCTTTGATATACTGCATATCAACCTCAGTCCTTGTTACAATGACCCTTATGAGTGTGGAATCATCAGTTCCTAAACCTTTCATTGCCTTACGCAACACCTGCATGGTGGTAATGGTAACATATTTTAAAATGTTCCCTCATTCATATTTGAAGAATCAATTTCCACAATATTACCTTTTTGGGTCACTTATGTATACTCCTAATTACATATGCTACCAATGACCAAAAGTTATATAATCCAAGTTACATAGATAAAATACAATCTGCTTACTCTTAATGCCCTTGGAGAAGAGATGTAAATGCCTAAAGACACAAACAAACTGGTTCCAGAATTAGTAAAGGTGTGTTTGATTTCTATTTTCATAAACTAGTTTTAGTTTTCAAAATGCAACTAAATAAAGTTGCTCAAACAGCTGGTGGAGGGTTGTGCAAGGTACAAAATAGAGTGTGGAATTGAGAGACTGGTTGAACAAGATGAAAAATAGAAGAAGAAAATGATAAAAACGTCACTAAGTTGTTTCTGTTGTTTGGTTTTCAAAATACTTCTTTTGGAAACAATTTTCAAAATTTTGGATGAGAAATTGATTGTGAAGTAATGTGAAATTGTTTTAAAAAGTAGTTTTTAAAACAAAAAAAAAGTGAGAAGGAAATCAAACAAACTCTAATTGTGTGTTTGGATGAAGAATTTAAATAGAGTAATTCATTTATTTGAAGAATTTCAAATTCTTTAAGGTCAAATACCTTGTCCGGATCGAGAATCCATACAGAATTTGACATTTAAACATTTATGAAATTCCTTGAAATAGTAGAATTTGAAATTCTCCCAAAAAAAGTAAGAATTTCAAATTCTTCATATATTTTTTTCTTCTTATTTCCCTTATATATTTTATCTTATCTCTTATCTCTTCATATTTTTAATTATTGAATATTCAAAAATATTTTTAAAATTATTAAATATTATTTAATATTAAATTTTAAAATTATTAAATATTTAAAAGTTAGCTAATATTTATTTATAAAATTTAATTCAAAAATATCAAACATATAAATATATTTTTAAAATCAATTTTATCATGGTAGAATCAAATTATTATATCCAACTTAACAATTTAAAATTTAAAAAATTTGAATTGACTTATCCAAACAAAATATTTTAAAAATGGTAAAAATTGAAATCAAAGTAATTCAAATACTAGGAATTTAAAATTCCTTGAATTTGCAAAATCACTCATCCAAACACACCATAAATCTTTCATAGTTCCCTGCCTTGTAAAGTTGTAACACAAGCGCACTGTTATTTCAAAGAAATAGTTAAATACTTTTCCTACACCCTTGTCAATTTAATTCCTTAACAATAAGCCTAGCATAAGAATCTTCTGTTTGTCATGGAACAAAAAAATTGTTCCAATAGCATTACAACATGCAATTATCAAAAGTTGAAGTGTAGTGGAATACCTTTGTAAAATAAATTCCTGGATTAACAGCACATTGGATTATTGTCAAAAGTGCATGAGCAAAATGCCCAGATGTTTCATTCTTTACTGCCTGACAAATTCAGACTGAATAAATAAACACCAAAAAAATACCTCAAGAAAGAATAAATTTTAATAAAGGAATTAAAAAATGCTCAAAATACCTTCTTCAAAGAGTGACCATACATGTCATGGTAATAAGAACTGACAGCAGCCAAATGTGCTGCACTCCGTTCACTGAATATGTGGATAAAAGTCTTTTCATCAGTTCCTAGTTTCTTCTCCCCAGCTTTGTAAAGAACCTTTGCATCCTTCTCAGCAATTTCTCTATTAACCTCAGGGCCTTCGTGACGAGGCGTGCTTAAATATGCAAGCAAAAGCTGAAGCAAGTTTTATACAAAAAAGGCATCACTGATTTAATAACTTGAAAGGAACTCATGTGATCATGAAAGCAATCAAAGAATCATGAGACAAAAATTTGCATCATTCAATCCAATCTTTTCCACGGATCCAAAGAAAATTTTAGTGCCTTTATGGATATAGTCTTGAATGATGCAAAATAGAGCCTTGCCATAACAAGGGATCCATCCAACATTTGGTTGGTAGGAGAATGAATCTGTTTAAATATAAACTTACAAGAGTTTTTAAAAGTTTCTTTACAAAAAAAAGTGTTTTTTAAAGTAGAAAAACTCTTATAAACACTTTTTAGCTTGTATCCAAACAAGTTCATTGTATATTTACAGGAGATATGTATGAAAAACTCTACATTAATACCTATTACTGGCCATAATACAACCATGAAGCACAAGCATAGGAAGACAATTATGAATTCTTCAGCTGACAAAAAGAACCCTTAATGTTACAACTTAGTGATGATAGCTAAGGTGTCTTTCATAAAATCCACACACAAGGACAAAGAGAAACTAACCCCTTTTATTATTATCCCCATAGGCGATACAATGTCATGCTCAAGACAAACAACACTTAGATTGTTAACAAAAGTTAGTTAATTCTGTTATTGATGTATTTAGATGTTAGATAATCATTAATTCGGTTGACATAGATTGTTAGCTCAAGATTCCTTAATATGACTAATTCACAACTGCTGGGGTTCCTTTCATAAAAGTTACAAATAGAAACCTCACCTTTTGATGATCCCCAAGGCTGGTGTTTATTTGAATATCTTGCTCTACATAAACACCAAACATAGAATGGTAGATCTGTTTTAAATATTGCAGCTGCGATGGACTCCGTGAACATATAACTTCAGTAGCACCTTTAAGAGTTCTGTCTATTAGAGACTGCCTAATGATTGTCGAGTCACGTCTTGCAGGGTCATGCATCCAGAGCAGAACAGCAGTCTGATAGACAGAAAAAATACAAAACAAACCAGATATCATCAGCGCAAGACGAGGTTTTAAATGCGTCTGTTTGGATAAATTCTCTATAAATACTTATAAAAGATTTTGGAGAATCAAAATTATATTCTTCATAAACTAAAATTAGTTTATGCATGAATTAAAAATAAGATTTTGGAGAAGTTAATAAAAAAAAGTTTATACAAAATAGTTTATGAATAAGCTAATATTAGTTTATAGAGAAATTTATTTAATTTTTTTCTTCATATTTTTCTCTCATAAAAGTGATTTTATAAAAGTTTACCCAAACAAACCTTATATCTAGTTTATATTAAAATTTTAGTAACCTCTAGCTTTCCACTGAGCTCCGAAGCTAAGCGTTTGGAAAGTTCCTCAGAATACATTGCTCTGTATTCTTGTTGGATGTAGGCACGCTGTGTGGCATCTCGATGAGCAAGAATATTGATAACAGCACTAGTATCACACCCAAGTCCTGTGCAAACACAGAATTAGAATGAAAAAAAAAAAATGTCTCAAGGATCAACAAGGCACATATTAAGTTTGGTAGAGTAAATCTAGAGCAATAGGAATAGACACTTCACAAACAATCCCTTTGTAAGTAACAAGAATCATTCAGTATTCTTCACAAGTACATATCCTTACAAGGTAAAATTTAGATGAAAAATACTCTTAAAACAGAAAGCTGGGCAAAGATCTAGGAGCATCATCAATTAACTTAATATAAGCAGTTAACAACATTGGTAATCATGGCTTGTTTCCAAACATGACGATTAAAAGCATGCATGGTCCAGTAGAATTGAATAACTAAGTAAAGCATATAACATCCTTAAAAGGGTAGTTTGAAACAAAAAACTACCTAATTAACGTTATAAGAGATGATTAGAAGCATAGCCAACAAGTATGGAGAGAGAAGGGTACCCTTGAAAGCACGGTAAAGTTGCATGGCATCATCTCTTGGAGAAGGAGGAACTGGGGGTACACTCAAGGTAGCCATCTTCCTCTTTGAAAAACACCGAAGAGAAGGGGGAACAGAGACAAGTTATGAGTAGAAAAAGTAAACGTGGTGAATTAAATATACCATGTTTTTTCTTGGTCCACCAGAATGAGAAAACACTGATTACATTTTCTAATCCAGTACGTCCCAACCACTCCATTGGACCACAAACAAAAGATTAATTTCTTTTTCATCATAACCAATCTATAGGACAACAAATAAAATAAAAATGTAAGAGACAATCTCTTAAATAAAATAAAATAAATGATAAAAGTAATTAAAATTAAATATGTGTGAGTGATATATTAATTATCAAGGAATTTCATAGCAATTTTCGATAAGTTATCTAGAAATTGTGAAAAGTTTGAATATTGCATTTTATTAATAATATAGATTTCTCTACCAAAAATAACGTGAAAATAAAATAAGATTTTTACAAATATAAAAAAGTTAAAAATAAACGTTGCGTTATTTATTTACTATTTATTATTTTAAAAAAAGTAATTTTCCCCTTTTCATAAGACTGGATGAGCAGTCCTTTCGGTAGCTCATGAATAAATAATAATTTTAATTTTTAAATGATATTTAAATTATATTGTTTTACTTTAAAATTAGTTTTTTTTTAGAAACAAATATATTTTTTTGTCTATTATTACAATCTTGTGGAAAAAGCAGTTTAATCATTATTGTATTAAGAATATGTTTGGAAAAAATATGATAATTCAATTATTTTAATAATTGATTATAATTAATTATAATTAGAATAAAATTTTATTTAAATAATCTTGTTAAAAATGATTTTAAGATATTTAATTTTGTTTGAGTATAATGAAAAAAGTCAAATTTTTATATAGCAAATCAACTTAAAAGAAAAAAAATTGTTGAAAAATAATAATAAATTTTAAATTTTCAGCTTCTTAAAAATAACATGTTTTAAGAAAAATCATTTGCAAATTCAAATTGCTGTTTCAAACATACAACTTATTTACAAATAACTTTCTTTTTCTAAAAAATTAACTATTATTCTTTTTCCAATATGTTATAATCTTAACGTAATTCAGCGTTATAATGATTTTTGTAAAAAAAAAAATTCAACATCAATTGAATATGGTTTTATTTTTTTCATAAGGTAGTTTGTGTTTGTAAAATGTAGTTTTTATTGATCAAATATTATTTAAATTTTTATTGTCAACTTTAAGAAATTAGAAAATAAAATAAATATATTAAGTGAAATGGTAAAAGCTAATAATAAGAATATTTACAATTTTTCATTTTCTAAAATTACTAATAAAGTTTTTAGTAAGTTATTAATGATATAAAAAAATATAAAGAAAGAAAAATTCTTAAAAAGTGTATTTATATAAAAACAAATGTTTAGAAGATGAGAAACTTTCTTCTTTTTTATTGGTTTGTTCAACATACAAAGAAACCTCTTATCGATTATAAATATGTTAAGTTGATTATATATATAAAGATATTATATATTTGTTATACTTTAATATTGACTATTTTTTAAAAAAAACATATAAGACATGAATTGTAAAAAAATATTTCATATTCACCGGAAATTACTATATATTAACTTTTTTATTAAAATCTTAAAATATTTGTTAAAAAAATTGAAAATAAATAATATAATTATAAATATCATTTCAATCATTATAATTGTTTGGTCATTATCTCTTTTAAAGCTTTGCAATATATCTTTTAAAATAAATAATCTGTGTTTTGTCATGTTTAACAAAATTAACTGACAAATTCTGTTAACATAATAAATTTAATATTTGTTATAAATATAATATTGTGAAGAAAAAAATAATATATTTTGATAATAAGTAAGAATGAGTTTATAATTCTTCTTTCAATTGGTTGTTAGAAGTAGAATAAAAGATAGTTGCACAACTAATATCTAGAAAATAGAGAGTCAACGAAGCGAAAGTCATTGTTTTTCGCACAAACAAACATGAAGCAGATAATTGTCAAAAACTTTAACGTGTTGAGCAAGTGAAACACATGACTTGTGAAAGTTATCTCCAGAGATAATTGCCAGACTATTTATTGAGGTGTAACATCCAAAGCAATAATGTAATATTTTGAAGCTTTGATAATAATATTATCAATTTTCATATTATTATTTTATTTTTAAAATAGTATTTTTAAATTTTTAGTTACTATATTTAAAATAAATAAAAATAGATGTTTTATTATCTTATGATTTTTATATTTTCAACAGATTAAAATAGAAATGTTTCCTACTCAATTTTATTGTAATTTTTTAAAATAATATTTTAATTATTATGATATATATTTAAAATTGTTAAATTTTCAAATGTTTAATATAAGTAATTGTACTTGTCAAAAGGATACACTAGTAATCTTCTCGTAACCTGAGGGCCGAACGAATGCTCCGATTGAATATTCCAGTGAAGGGGTTGGTACCTGCAAAAGGCACTTTAACGTTCAAGTCAGGACAAACACGAATATCTAGGGTAATTAATGAACAGTGACGTTACCTCGTTGACATGAACTATTTATAAGGACATTTATGGGCCCTGGACCCCATGGCCCTGCAACATGCTTACCGTATTAGGTAATACGCCTTAATCGGTTTATTAGTGTAGTTAACCTTTAATTATTGATTAAGGACAATTAAATGAGTGTAGGCCGATCCTGGTGGCCGATTGGCGTTCGGCCACTAGGTTCCACCACTCGGCGGCCGACAGGGTTTCGGTTGAGTGGTGACCGAACGTCCCTACCTATACAGTAATTATATTAAAAAAAAGTACACATACAAATATATATTAGAAATAGGTAAAAGAAAAAAAGAAAATTAAAAATAAATTCTAAAAAAAATTAAAAATTAAAAAATAAAAACTGCAGCTGATAAGCTACAGGTGTACGAAGAGATATATATTATCTCTAACCAAAGGGAGAATAAATGTACTCTTGTTACATCTTAACTAAATCACTAACTAGATAAAAATAATAATAATTTGCCTATAAAAGATCCACGAGGGACCATGAGAGTTAACGGGAAAAAGGGATAAAACATATAGAGAGAGAGGGAGAGAGAAATGAGAAAAAATAGAGAAAGAAAAGAAAGAAAGAGTAAAAACATAAACATTGTCTTAAGATATCTTTTAGTAAATTTTCTTTTCTTAAGATAAAGGGGAATCCTTTTAAATTTTATATATACTATTATATTTATTTATTTTATGTGTATTTATTTAGTGACGTGTCCTTAATCTCATTTATTTATTTAATCTATGATATTTTTTGTTCTAAATAATTAATAAAATATTACTAATTTATGTTATTTAATTATTTTATGATATTTATTACTATCATTCATTAAATTAATTTTTTTTATTTTTTTGTAAACTATATTATATTAAATTTAAATAATTAAAAATTCTCAAGAATATTTAGTTTAATTATTTTATATTAATATTAATTATAATATAGTTTTGTTAAAATATCCTAAGCTCATCTTGTTGTTGTTTCTTCATACATTATAAAATAAATGTTATTTTATGGTCATATGAAATAAAGTTTGAATTAATTTATAGTTGGAAGTTTGACCTTGTGGATTTAAATGAGTAAGGACTTAAAATGAAATATTTTTTTGTTGGTTGATATTATGATAATGCTCATTTATTTTAACTAGTCACTACTAAAATAATTCAAATTTTATTATAACATTGAAATCTAAAACATATATATCTATATATCTATCTATATATATATATATATATTTCATGTTGATTATAAATAATTTTGTACATTTTATTGAATTATTTGTATTTATTGGATATTTGTTCTCATTTCTCATTTTTCTTTATTTTTAAAATTAAATATATTAGAAAGAGACGGATATACCCGCGATTCCAGGTCCTTTTACAGTTGTTATTACTATTGTCTTCCCTGAATAGAATTGGAATATGGATGTTGTTTCCAACTTTGTCACGTTTCAAGGCATATGATTGTCTTCATATTTTTTTTCGACCAAGAAAACCTCACTATTATTGATGGACCTATTATAATAACTTTCTTTTGACCACCCACCAACCATACTAATCCAATTGTAAATTTATTTTCACCACCAATGTAATTATTGTAATAAAAGTGGAAGAAACAAATAATGTGTAAAATAGTATGATGTAAATATTTTTAAAATAATATGTAATGTAAATAAGTTCACAAAATATTCTTTGTCTTTATGTAAAATATTATTAATGATATATTGTGATAATAACATATAAGAAATATATATTTAATATTATATAATTAGGCGTTATAAATAGTAAAACAGATTATCAAGAGCAAGAGCCTTGTGGCACTTACATGTCATGTACCACCATGAACCATCTCAAATATAGTCAACACATTACCCAAAACAACAAATATACCCTCTTATTAGTAAAAATCAAGAAAAAAAATCAAAACACAATTAAAATTTTAAAAATTAATTGAATCATCATATAATATTGAATGAATATATCATGATCACCTCCTCACAAACATGCAGCTCATTAATAGATTTTTGAAGAAACTTCTTAAGAAATTCATCTTTTAAAGATATTTGAGCATATTCTCCATTAATAACACGAATAGGCACATCAACTTCAATACCTTGAGCTGACAAACGTATAATCAAAATATTTTCTAAAAATTCAAATTCAAACTACCTACACACTATAAGATTCTTTAGCCAAAAATATGATATAGACAAAGATACACACACAAACACATCTCATCCATTCCTAAAATTGATAGCCTCTAGAATTTGAGGATCCCAAAAAAGCTTATAAGCATTTCTCACATTCTATAAACTAATTTCAACTATACAATAACAGTACAAGTAAAACATATAACATAAATCATAAAAATAAGTTAATGATTTATCAGGTAAAATTAACCCAAAATAATGTAGAAAATGATTGTCCAAAAAAACTAACCCTTGCAAGTATTAACCCGACAAAGTTGAAGCACCAAAACAAGGCAATGGGCAACACCAGCATTAACAAAATCATTTACCAAATCCACAAACTCCACCAAACAAAGAACATTTAACAACACCCCTAAATCATTAGCAAAGATTGTATAAATTTA